ACACACACACACACACACACACACACACACACACACACACACAGAACCACACCAAGGCACTATCTTGAGAAAGGTGTCCTTGGTTGAGACTGAACACTGACACAGTGTCTGAAATCACCTGTCATGTGGTTTCAGGCCTGCATGCTGAGAATTTCAAAGCTCAAGTTCAGGAAAGCATTTGATTTGCATAGCTGTCTTCCTGTTGGATGAGATACGGAGGCACTGTGACAGGCCTGTTCTCCAACACACTCAAAGAGCTTCCTTTGCTTAGATATTAGCCATCCCATGCTATGCAGGGTGGGGGAGGAGGGAAAGAGGCATCTCTGTTGTGAGACTCTTCCTGGCCCACAGATTGAAAAGTTAAGTGCGATGACCATCAGGGCTCCTGGTGTGCACAGGAAGTAAGTTCTAGGATGGAGGCATCCATCAGACAGCTGGCCTTTGATTGGTTCAGGCCTAGCCCTATTGGGATGGTAGGCAAGCCATGAGACCAAATATCAACAGACCACCACTCCCAATCCCACCACGGGTGTTAGAATTCGGCCTTTACTCCAGCTACACATGCGCAGTTCAGGGTCTACTGTCTTACGTCATCAGTGTGTGCTGGTGACTACGTGTGCATGGCCTGGTCATGCAGTCAGCACACGGATGTTGTAGTTCTTTACTGGGAGCCCTTAAAAGCCGGACACAGATCCCACCTTCTCTCTGCTCTGCTCTGCTCTCCCCCCACCCCACCGTCTTTCCCTTGCTTTCCACTCCCACGTGCTCCTTCCCAGGCCTGGTTTTCTTGTTCCCCACCCCTCTTCCTCCTAATAAAGCTTTCTGGGGGGTTGGGGATTTAGCTCAGTGGTAGAGCGCTTGCCTAGCAAGTCCAAGGCCCTGGGTTTGGTCCTCAGCTCCGAAAGGAAAAAAAAAAAAGCTTTCTGTAACTAGGTAGTTGTGGCCGTGGCTGTGACCTTTCCACACAGTAACCAGCTCCACCACCAGCGTCTTATCATTCTTTCAACAGGCTGTGACCTTCGTGGACACAGAAGGTACAGACTCTTCCTGTCTCTTTTCTTTGCCTTCACTTTTAGTATAACTTTTATTTCTAGAAAGCTTTTTTGTTTTTGTTTTCTTCTTATGATTGTCTTATTTTTTTGTGCCTCTAAGCATCCATGTTTTCTCTCTCTCCTTCCCTCCCTCTCTTCTCTCCTTCCCTCCCTCTCTCTCCTCTGTCTGTCTGTCTGTCTGTCTCTGACAGAGCCTGAACTTATAAAGACCCTCCTGCTTCAGTCTCCAGAATGCTGGGAGTATAAAGCCTCCTGAGCCATCATGCCTGGCTCATTTCTTCTCTTCTCTTGTCTGACCTAGCTTTTTCCTCATTGTCCCTTTGTTACGAGCTGCAGGATTATAGGAAGAATTTAGCTGAATATGTTAAAGCTATACCTGAAAAAAATCAAGGCATTCTTCCAGAGGATTAAGCCAAATCTCAATGGGTATTTGGTGTTATTTTGTTTAATATATCAGCTGTTTCCTGCTATGAATTTCATATGCACTCATAACTTCCCCAAGAACTTTTTGTTTTGTTTTGTTTTTTGTTTTTTTGAGACAGGTTTTCTCTGTAGTTTTGGTGCCTGTCCTGGATCTCGCTCTGTAGACCAGACTGGCCTCAAATTCACAGAGATCTGCCTGGCTCTGCCTCCCAAGTGCTGGGATTAAAAATGTACGCCACTGCTGCCTGGCTTTCCAAGAACTTTTAACAGTGTGTTTTACCTGAAATTCTTTTCAAGCATCCTAGGCCTAAGAGACTGGCGAATTTAGGTGCATAGCTTTGTTTCTTGTGCCAGTATATGGCAGCATAGAAAAATAGAGACAGTTTTATTTTAATGAGTTATAGACTCTTTTACCTAACCACCTGTAAGATTGTAGTTTGAGCATATGGATGAAATACAGAAATAAATGCAAGGGCTGGTTTTCTTACTGAGCCTTTGCATTATTTCCTTATTTCATTCATGTGCACATATATAGATGTACACATATGTGAACTTGCATATAGTCAAGTACACACATTACATATAAATATGCAAAAAGAAAAAAGAGCTTTATGAGTCAAGTAAAGGTCACTCTAAACAGGTCACTGCAAGCTGTTTTCTGGCCAACACACAAATACCATGGCATGTGCACACATACACACATATGCAATTTTTTAATTTTAAAAAAGATATGACTAAAGCATTCAAGAAATGATGCATGACCAAGAGACATGGTATGGATGTTCATGGATTAGAAAGGCTGAGGTAGAAACTAAGAGAGCAGAAACCTTCAGAGGACACAAAGGAATATGACACCAGGGGAGAAAGGAGGGTGGTTTCAATAACAGAGCACAGAAAGGATTCATTTTGTAAGAGAAATACTTGAACAAGTGAGAACTGAGGAAGACTCATTCCAACTCACGTCTAACTCAGTAACACAGCAATCTCCCGCTAAAAACACATATAATATACAAACCAGCTGAGAAAACAACCAGCAAAATAATAGGAATCAGCAAACCCACCAATAATGGCCCAAGTATAAATCACCCTAATTCTCCAAAAGAAGATGAGCTTTCTGGATTCAAAACAAGATCCAAGCTGGGCAGTGGTGGCACACTCCTTTACTCCCAGTACTAGGGAGGCAGAGGCAGTTGGATCTCTGAGTTTGAGGCCAACCCGGTCTACAAAGTGAGTTCCCAGACAGCCAGCCACACAGAGGCACCCTGTCTTGAAAAACAAACAAACAAACCAACAAACAAAAACAAAAAACCAAGATCCAGTGGTTGGTTGTCTGTGACAAACATACCTCACTAAAGACAGAAACAGAGAGGGAAAGGGTAGATGTTGAAGTCCCAAGCACATGGAAGCCAAGTAAGCCAGTGGAGCCATACTAATCTGACAAGGAGTTCAAGACAAAATTATCCTACAAAACTATAAAGACAGCATGGTACAGGCATAAAAGCAGACATGTAGATCAATGCCATAAACTAGAGGACCCAGAAATAAACATAGGCAACTATAGCCACCTGACTTTGACAAAGGTGCTCAAATACTTCAGAAAAGAGTATCTCTCAATCAATAATGCTGGGGAAACCAGATAGCCACATGTAGAAAATGAAGGTAGATTCCTATGTGGTGATATTTTATTTGTGCTGAAATGTGACATTTTATTTGTATGTTAATAAATAAAGTTTGCCTGGAGATCAGAGGTCACAGTCAGCCATAAACAGAAGTCAGGAGGTGGAAGCACATGCCCTTAATCCAATCATATGGCAGGCAGAATCTCTGTGTGTTCAAGGACACAGCTAAGCGTGGTGACACATGCCAGTACCAACCATAGAGACCTGGAGGTCTGTATAAACAGGCAGTGATGAGGAAGTGATGTGGCTGGGCTTAGAGCCAATGAGAAGGTAGAACAGGAAGGCAATAAAGGCGCAGGTTAGACAGGAAGAAGCTCTCTTGGGAAGCTATGATGAGGTGGTAAGCTAAGGTTAGTTGGTGGCTATTGCTCTGATCTCTATGGCTTGTACCTACCTCTGTATTTGGCTCTGTGTTTCTTATTTAATAAGACTGTTTAGAAATTAATCTACAATTGGCGCCCAACATGGGGCATGAGCCCACGACCCTGAGATTAAGAGTCTCATGCTCTACCGCCTGAGCTAGCCAGGCAGGCACAGAAAAACTTCAGCTACATTCCTATCTCTCATTCTCTGCAATGATCAGTTCCAAATAAATCAAAGGCCTTAATGTAAGACTACAAAGTGAAATGCTAGAGCAAACACTTCAAGCTAAGGCTCTGACAGCCCAGGAAATATTAACTGATAAATGAGATTACATCAAAGGAAAAGTTCTGGACAGCAAAGCAATCAGCAGAGCCAAGAGACAGTGCACAGTGTGTGAGAAAACCTTTCATCACTGTATAGGTGGTAGTAAACACATAAAGAACCCAAAAAATCAAATGTGGGGGGCCATCAAGATGGCTCAGTGGGTAGAGGCACTTGCTGCCAAGCCTGATGACCTGAGTTCAATTCCCAGAGCACACAGAGTGGGAGGAGAGAACTGACTCCTACAAATTGTCTTATCTTCCCACTGCACCACGGTATGTAGGCTATCGCTCACAAACAAACAGATAAATGTAAAATACTAAGTTTTTAAAACATCAGAGTTCGTGTTTTGTATAAAAATCATAAAGTCAATAAAGGAGCTTGTGAATTGGACAGACGATAAAAGAAGTTCATGAGTGGTGAGGGGGCTCAGCAGGTAAAGCCCTTGCTGCTCAGGCTGGAAATATATGTCTGATCCCAAGTAGAGGAGGAAAGACTCCACAAAACTGTCTCTGACTCCATATGTGCCCTAAGGCTTGTGCACAACCCTTCCCTTCCCATCATACACACCATAAAAATACATAATAATAAAGTAAGAAACACATTCATAGCTCTCAGGGAAATGTAAATTTCCTGAGCTACACTGAGATTTCATCTCCCCTCAGTCACATAGCTGCTATCAAGGTGGAAGAAGGAAATGTGGCATATATACACAATGGAGTTAGTCAGCCACAAGGAGAATCCACGTCATTTGGAGGAAAATGAGTGTTGCCCTATTTTGGCCTATTGTGTTCTCAAAGTCTCGGGGTTCATCTTCCTTTTGAAGAATGTGAGTATAAATTGTCTAGAGGAACAACATGTACAGAAGGAAGACACTCACCTCCACAGGGATTTGCACACATATCCGTTGTAAACTAGTATATGGACAGCTTGAATGAGACTCCATGTGGGGCAGAGGTGCAGAGACCCGGCTGTGGAGCTGAGTCAATGGTCAGACCACTTCAGGGTGTGAGCTGCCGCCACCTTTCTGCTGTAGTCAACCCTCATTTGTCTTACTGGCTCTTTCTTTAGGGACTTCCACACTAGCATTCTAGAATGTGACCCACAATGGCAGCCTGTGATCAAAGGGTGGAGCTCAAGGTGGCTTCCCCCAGGCTCTGGTATCTATCTCTGAGGTTGTATACTTGATGAACATGCTGTAGCATTCCAGGCTTATGAAACAACCCAAGCTCATAAAGGCTGCTGACATCAATATCTATCTTGACTGCCTTGTCCTGTCAACCAAAGATTCATCTTAACCAGAGAGCCTGTTAACAGTTTGAGCTAGAGCCTGGTGTGGTGGTGTGTTCCTTTAATCCCAGCTCAGGAGGCAGAGCAGGTGAATCTCTGTGGTTTACAGATCAAGTTCCAGGACAGCCAGGGCTTTTACACAGAGAAACCCTGTCTGGAAAAAAAAAAAAACAAACCAAACCAAACCAAACAAACAAACAGTTTGAGCTAGGGTGGTACCAGTATCAGATAACTACCAACTCTGGTCTCTTTCTCATGTCCCTTTAGTTAAATGAATTGTCACACTATCACTGATCCTTTATCTCCTATCAGTTAAATTATGATCACTTCATGCCTGTCACTATTTCTTCTCCATTCTAGCAACATCTTTGCTAATATGAAAATGTATTGTTTCTGTTTATCAGGCTAGAGTATGAGTTGCGTTACAGCTCTGAAGGGAAAGGTATCCTGGCAGTCAGAAGCCAAGGATTACTACAGCTCTAAAGGTATCCATCCCAACAGAAGGGTTACAGCTCTGTTCTGGTGGGGGATGGTTTCCCCAGCTAAGTGTTAACAGTCCTTGCTCTGGGAAAAGTTTTCCTAATGCAAGTGTAACAACTCTTCTCCAGCTGGGTTGTCAGAGCCCTGCTCAGCTTCCCCAGAGTGTAACAATTCTGTTCCAGCAAGAGAGTTTACCCAGCCAAAGTGTTACATCTCTTGTTCTGCTCCAGCGAAAGAAAGTTGTTACCACAAACCTCACTCAAGAGATTTATTGGGAGGGAGGAATCCAGGAGAGTGGCTGCCTCTGCCAGGGTGGGAAAAGGGCAGCCCCAAACTGAACAGGCACAGGGCTTATATAGTGTTTCTTAGGGGCAGAGCTTTCAAAGGTAGAGATTTTCAGGGTGGGGATTGGTAGGATTTTAATTCCTGAGTTTGGGACAAGCTCAGAGATTGGCTGGATTTTGTGCTCAAGGGTGGTTGGTTTTCAAGCTCTGGGTTGGTTGGATTTCAATATAGGGGCAGCGTGTGTTTCCTTGGTTCCAGGGCCAGGGTGTTCTTTCACTGGCCCTTTTTACCCTACATGAGTCTTCCATTGTTATGTAGGAATTGGAAGTGTGTGTGTGTGTGTGTGTGTGCGCGTGTGTGTGTTGCTGAATATGGAATCCAGGGCCTTATCCATTTTTGGCAAGTATATCATCTGAGCTACAACTACAACCCAATACATAAGAATTTTAAAATGTTTTATTAGCAGATATGTATTATAAACAACAATGGGTTTCATTATGACATACATATAATGTACTTTGATCTCATTCACCCATCATTGCCTCCTCATCCCATTCCCATGGATTCCCTTTTTCTTCACAAGCAGTCACTGTTCTATTTCAGTTCTGTGTGTGTGTGTGTCCATCCCCTGATGAGTTTCATTTTGTTGCTTTTAGGAACATGAGTCATTTACAGGAACATGGCCACTTTATCAGTGACTCTACCACAGGAAAAAATGTTTCTTCCTCCCTTAGTGACCATAACTTTCTACAGATCCTCAGGGCTGGATGGGTTCTCATCAGCCCCACTCCAAGAATTTCTGATACAATATCCCACTACTGCAGCCCTTAGAAGAGGTATACATTTCATGTTCTCAGTCTCACAGTAAAACAATCTGCTAATTAGCCTCTGGCTCATCAGTAAATCACATTCTCTCTGGCCTGGCATTAACTCCCCACCTTTGCCTCTCATACTGTTTCTTTTATCTTTTTTATTCTTATCTCATATGTTACATCCTGACGACAGTTTTCCCTTCCTCTATTTCTCCCAGTTCCTACCAACCCCCCTCTCCCCCAGATCCACTCCTCTTCTGTTTCCCTTCAGAAAAGAGCAGGCCTCTCAGGAATATCAACTGAACACGGAATAATGAGTTACATTAAGACCAGGCACAAACACTCATGTCAAGGCTGGACAAGGGCCAGGCGGTGGTGGTGCACACCTTTAATCCCAGCAATCAGGAGGCAGAGCCAGGCAGATCTCTGTGAGTTCGAGGCCAGCCTGGTCTATAGAGCGAGATCCAGGACAGGCACCAAAACTACATGGAGAAACCCTGTCTTGAAAAACCGGAAAAAAAAAAAAAAGTCTGGACAAGGCAACCCAGTAAGAGAAAGAGGGTCCCAAGAGCTGGTGAGAGAGTCAGAGACAGCCCCCCTCCCACTGTTAGGAGTCCCACAAGAACACGCAGCTGTACAACAATAATGTATAAGCAGAGGACCTAGCTCAGACCCATTCAGGCTCCATAATTGTCTCTTCAGTTTCTGTGAGCCTTATGAACCCTGCATTACCTCTCATACTTTTCAGCCAACACTTTTGGATTCCTGTTTCTGCTTTCCACAAGTCACAACTTCCAGCATACCTCATCTGAAAACTTCTTTGGCATGTCAACCTAAAATGTGTCTCTTCTTTCTTCAGTCTTTACATAGATTTAGTTGATGATGAGGAGAGAAAATGACTAACTCCACACAATGCTCAGCAACTCTCTCTGGCCATAGTGTGGTGTGCACATGACCCAATTACATGGTATTAGTTACTTTCTGCTGCTGTGATAAAACATCATGAGGAAAAGCAACTTATGGGAAAGTTTAACTCACCACTCCAGAGGGCCAGTCCGCAGCAGCAGGGGAGGCCTCACAGCAGGTGTGCAAGGCTGAGAGTTCAAGTCATCAACCCCAAACATGAAGGGGAGAGAATGGAAGTGGGGTGAGGCTGAAAATTCTCAGTCTGTTTCCAGTAACACTCTTTCTCTGGCAAGGCTCTACCTCCTAAAGGTTCCACAGCCTCTCAACCAGCACCACCGACTGGGAACCAAGTGTTCAGATATATGAGCCTATGGGGGGACATCACTTATTTAAACACCACATCCATTAAGCTCCATATTGCTTTAGGGCCCAGGACTGGGGCACCAACTCTGCCCTGATCTTCATCTTTATGGTCATCTAACTTGCAGCTTCACATTCACACAAGCAGATTCCTTACTGTCAATCTTTATATATACATGCATAGCCACATGCACACATGACTCTTCCTGTTTTTTTCTGGAGAACTGTAATGTTATTCAAACTCTAAATCAAGGTGTGATTTCAGAAGAGATCTATATAACATTGGGGTCACCCAATCATAGAAAAAAACTACATGTCCTACTGGTCTAGGATGTGTACATGTGTGTGGGTATAGTATAACATGTGGACAGGAGAACAAGAAAGGGTATTATTAGGTGATGAGGAAGGGAAGGATGTGGGTAATGGATACATGTCATGAAAAAAAGCTACTTGTTTCCCTAGTTTTAATTCTATCATGGATTTTTCTTTTTGTGTGGTGAATGTGCATAAAAATGAATTAATTGATAGTGAAAGTGTAAAGTCCAAAGTGAAGCTCCATGGCTTCTAAATGGCTATTCTAGAACTATTCTCTGAGTTATCCAGACTTTGAGTCTAGGCAAGTGCTTGAGTGGCTATGTTAATCTGGCTGTGTGATATTTATATTTTCAAATTCTTTAGAATAAAGGGACTTTTAGTTCAAAACAAAACACCTACAAAGTCAGGTGGTGGTGGTGCATGCCTTTAGTCCCAGTACTTGCGAAGCAGAGGCAAGTGGATCTCTGTGAAATTGAGGCCAACCTGGGCTACAGAGTGAGTTCTAGGACAGCCAGGGCTTACACAGAGAAACTTAAAAAAAAAAGTATTAGTGTGCTGTTTTGGGTAATAAAAATTAGACTTAAACTCATAGCTAGTTTTGACATAAAAATATTAAAATTTCTAGGAAATAAGGTAGCACTCAGTACATGAGGCCACTGAACACTTGGAATGCGGACTGTGTGATTGAGGAACTAAGTATTTTATGTGTGTGGGCTGGAGATGGAAGCCATGGCTCCCTGTGTGCTGACCAGGTGCTCCACCACTTGACTGGCCCTGGTGTTTCCTCTTTTATCTGCTTCTGCAATGTTCTTACCAAGGCTGCAAACTCAGCAGATCACTGGAAAAGGTATTTGCAGGCTCTCCTTGAAGCTTGATGCTGTGTTAGGGTTGTTGGCCAAAGACCCAGAGGTGCTGAGATCTAAGTTTATATAGACTCATGAGGCCTGGGAAGGCCCTGGTGATCCCACAGATATGACCTACCTGGTTTTGTGGACACACATGGGTCCCTGTGTGAATCAGAGAAACTGGAGCTTGGGTTAGACAGGCCTTTCTTTTTTTTCTCTCCACTGGGCATTCTTCCCATCATTCCTCAGCAAACTCTCAGAAGCACACTGCCAAAAGAAATCTGAAAAGGGTGGAGATACAGTCCATGGATCCCAACATGGACCCAGACACTTGACCCACACTGGGAGTGACCCCTCCTGTTAGGTTCAAGCCCCAGCCCTTTCTTCACATGAAGAGACTGCCAGCAAGCTGTAGGTGGTTTGCTTTGTATCAGTCTTTCCTGGGCTGTGGCCTTGCTCCTTTCTTAAGAACACCAATGGTCTTTTCTATCTCTGTGTAGGAGCTTTGGGGCCTTTTTTTTGGTGTCCCCTCTGGCGGGCCAGCCTGCCCTTTCCATCTCTTTGTGTCTGTCTGGATCCCAGCATTTCTCAGGAAGCTTCCTAGGAGTTTTTGGCCCTTGCTGATCCTCCTTTGAACTCCATGGCCTGAAGAACCATTCCTTCACCTAGGGTCACATTCTGCTGGGTGGTGGCAGGGAGAGTGTGACAAGACACTGAGCTCTCTCCAGGCATGTCAGCGACCACAGCTAGGGTGAGAGATGGACCAGGAGGAGCCAGGGGACCTTGGGATGGGGGTCACATGCAGAGGTGACACTGAATACTTATTGGTGCCAAGAGCACTGGGTAAGATTGCTGGGAGTCTGTCAGTCCATGTGACATAGTGGTGACTTGCAAGGCTCTGAGGGACTGACTGGTCACTCCATTCTTGGTGTCCCCTTTCCTCATCTGAGAAGTGGGGATATCCACACCCAACACTTGGGCATGGTAGATAATGCCTGGGAAAGCCAGCCCTGGGAGCACACTTCCTTCCTGGTTTTGAATATCCTGTTACAAACTCTGTTGTTGTTGTCTTGTGTTCTGTTTTCATGAGACTGTGAACTGAGGACCAGGTTCCCTAGGTTCTCCCCAAACTCTTGGGCTCAGGTGATCCTCTTGCTTCATAGTCCTGTGACTGCCACCAGGCTCAGCTGGAACATGTGTCCAATCCACCGTCCCTACAGTCCATGCCCTGTCCT